CTGGGTTGGCTCCTGACTCCCAACATCTACCTCAGCGAGCTCTTTGGAAAGTTTCTCTTCATCAGCTGCGACCTCCTCACCGCTTTCCTCTTGTACCGCCTGCTGCTGCTGAGGGGACTGGGGCGCCGCCAGGCTTGTGGCTACTGTGCCTTTTGGCTTCTTAACCCCCTGCCTATGGCAGTATCCAGCCGAGGTAATGCAGACTCGATTGTCGCCTGCCTGGTCCTGATGGTGCTATACTTAATAAAGAAAAGACTCGTCGCGTGTGCAGCTGTATTCTATGGTTTCGCGGTGCATATGAAGATATATCCGGTGACTTATATCCTTCCTATAACCCTTCACCTGCTTCCAGGTCGCGACCATGACGAAAGTCTCCATCAATCCCGGTGTTCTTTCCAGGCTCGTTTGTACGAGCTCCTGAAGAGGCTGTGTAATCGGGCTGTGCTGTTGTTTGTAGCAGTTGCTGGACTCACGTTTTTTGCCCTGAGCTTTGGTTTTTACTATGAGTACGGCTGGGAATTTTTGGAGCACACTTACTTTTATCACCTGACTAGGCGGGATATCCGTCACAACTTTTCTCCGTACTTCTACATGCTGTATTTGACTGCAGAGAGCAAGTGGAGTTTTTCCCTGGGAATTGCAGCGTTCCTGCCACAGTTCATCTTGCTTTCAGCTGTGTCTTTCGCCTATTACAGAGACCTCGTCTTTTGTTGTTTTCTTCATACGTCCATTTTTGTGACTTTTAACAAAGTCTGCACCTCCCAGTACTTTCTTTGGTACCTCTGCTTACTGCCCCTTGTGATGCCACTAATAAGAATGCCTTGGAAAAGAGCTGCAGTTCTCCTAATGTTATGGTTTATAGGGCAGGCCTTATGGCTGGCTCCTGCCTATGTTCTTGAGTTTCAAGGAAAGAACACCTTTTTGTTTATTTGGTTAGCTGGTTTGCTCTTCCTTCTTATCAACTGTTCCATCCTGATTCAAATTATTTCCCATTACAGAGAAGAACCCCTGACAGAGAGAATCAAATACGACTAGTGTATGTTCCAGACTTTATGCTAGTGTCTGTTACATTCTAATTGTCGTGTATGGACCAGAAGAGAGCTTTGGGACATTTTTTTCTGAACATTCTAAGAACTCTAGTGAAAGTTCCCCTGTTCCAACAGAAGTTAAAACCAATGGTTGCCTATATATAAAAGGGACACAATAATTGAGGTCCGGCTGGGCACAGTGGCCCACGCCTGTAATCCCAGCACTTTGGGAGGCCAAGGTGGGTGGATCACCTGAGGTCAAGAGTTCGAGACCAGCCTGACCAATATGGTAAAACTCAGTCTCTGCTAAAAATATAAAAATTAGCTGGACGTGGTGGTGTGCGCCTGTAGTCCCAGCTAGTGGGGAGGCTGAGACAAGAGAATGGCTTGAACCCGCGTGGTGGAGGTTACAGTGAGCTGAAATCACGCCACTGCACTCCAGCCTGGGCGACAAGAGCAAGACTCTGTCTCAAAAAATAAAATAAAAATAATAATTGAGATCCACCTTCTAGGAAATCTTAGGACTCGTTTATTTGGGATTTGGTGGGAATAAAATTTACATATTAGAAAATGGAAAGGCTGTTGAAACAGATACTAAAAGATTCTTAAAATAGAGGAATATAGTTAGAGACATCAGGTTTAAGCCAGTATTTGTTCCTGTTTTACTATGTTTCTGTCTTAAGCTGTGTCTTAACTTTTAAACCCCATTTTTTTTTCTAAAGCTTTCCTCACAGCTGTGAAAATCCAAAAAGTATTCTTAGGCTGGGTATGGTGGCCCATGCCTGTAATCCCAGCACTTTGGGAGGCTGAGGTGGGAAGATCACTTAAGTCCAGGAGTTCTAGACTCATCTGGGGCAAGATAGTAAGACCTAGTCTCCACAAAAAATAAAAAAAATTAGCCAGGCGTGGTGGTATGCCCCTGTAGTCCCAGCTGCACGGGAGGCTGAGGTGGGAGAATCGCTTGAGCCCAGAGCAAGACCCTGTCTCAAAAAAATAAAAAAAATAGAAAGGATAACTTTTTAGGTATAAAAGTATTAAATAATACTAAGGTGCTTAGTATTATTTTAGAGAGTTTTTAATGTCTATATTAAATGTGGGGGCTTAGAAGATAAATCATCCAAAGAATTTAAATTGTCATCATGTTTCAGGTATTTGTTTTATTACTTAGTTTTTCAACACTTAGTCCCAGTGGTATTAGACTGCCATTTGGTTTCATACAAAAAGGATTAAATTTAAATTCATTCATGTTTAGACTTGGAGTTGTTACATTTTTAAAACTATCATCTTGCCTTTAATGTTTGAGGTCATTAAACACAAAAACTATTAGTACATTTCAGTATCTTCTTACCCCTTTGTTCTTAAGTTTTTGATTGCTAAAGCAAGATTTTTTTCTTGAAGAATTTAAGTCAATCAAGTGTTATCTATGTTGTAAAAATGAATAATAGTAGATTTTAGGTGATAAAGCAACTTGTTAGTAAGACATTTCCTAGCTTAAATAAATAAATAATTCCATGATAGAAATTGCAGACCTGTGAGGGCAACTCCTGAAAAGCATAGGAAGCATCCCAAAGAGCCATTGGTTTTCTAGACCAGGAAATTTAGAGGGAGATTGTGGAAATGAGGCTTGGCTGGGCAGATTGGTCTCCCTTATCACCGTAATATTTGTAGGGGAAAAATGCTTTCTGAGTTGTTCAAACAAGCATTCATATATATATATATATATATATATATATATATATTTAAATTAAACAGCTTGTCTAGGCTTGAGAGTCCCTAACACTACAGTAGCAGTATATGAATATGATTTTGTGATTGTGTTTTTTAAAAGATAAGTAATTTAACAAACTGTTCTTTGGCAGTCAAAAATCCCACAAAAACACAAAAAGAGTTCTACAGTAGTATATTTCATGTCAGTTCAGGCCTAAAAAAGCCTTTGCAAATAAGATGTCGATAGGCTGGTCACAATTAACAGTGTTATTATTGGCAGCACTTCTTGGATGGATACCTTTTGGGACCTTTCATTAGAAAGAGGGAAAGAATAGGATAGTTTTGTATGGGCTTCTCTTTGGGGTAAAAATAGCAGAGTCAGTTCCTGAGAACAATGACCTTCCTTATAACATCTAGTCTCATACCTCATATTAGGACTTGTGTTGGGGACCCTTTATATGTGCTTGTTTACTAAAGGCCTTCCAGCCATGGCATTCTTAGCTTTTTTTTTTTTTTCCTA